TGTGTGTGTGTGTGTGTGTGTGTGTGTGTGTGTGTGTGTGTGTGTGTGTGTGTGTGTGTGTGTGTGTGTGTGTGTGCAGATTAAGTTCTCTGTGATGCAGCCAGGGACTCATGTGTGGCCCCACACCGGCCCCACTAACTGCAGACTGAGGATGCACCTCGGCCTCGTCATCCCCAAACAGGGCTGCAGGATCCGCTGCACCGACATCACCAGGTTCTGCTACTTCCTCCTCCATCACCTTCTTCCCTATTTCCCCTCATCTCCATAAAATTGAATTCAAAAGAAAAAAAGCATGCGTGTAAAAATATTGAAATAAACTGCATCTCATTAAGGCGAGGTGCTTTAGGTTATTTATAAAATATTTGAGAAAGGAGGAGGACGTCACTTCCTTCTACTCCCTTTCAGACATTGAAGGGAGTTTTTAACAAGGGAGATTCCCTTATCATTTTTCAAAACATCTGTAACTTCTCATCTCTCATTATCAAACATTTAAATCATAAATTTACAAGAAAATAAATCTGGTATTCTCTCAGATTATATATCTAATTTAACAATTAACTTGGAGAAAAACTCCAAAATATCAAAGTCTCTGATATTAAAATAGTATATCTACAAGAACATATTTTTTGAATATTCTCTGAAAATAAATGATCTCCCTGTACAGATGTTTGTTTGAGAAACAAACAAATCGATGTAAACGGATCGATGTAAACGGATCGATGTAAACGGATCGATGTTAACGGATCGTTTTAACCTCGCTAACTTCTGGTTTCTTCTTCCTGTGCTTCAGGGAGTGGGAGGAGGGCAAAGTCCTGATCTTTGACGACTCCTTCGAGCACGAGGTCTGGCAGGACGCCGACAGCTACCGGCTGATCTTCATCGTGGACGTGTGGCACCCCGAGCTGACGGCGCAGCAGCGGCAGACCCTCAGCCCCATTTAAACACGCGTACACACCCCTGGTAAGAGTTTCACACACTCATCGGATTCTTCTCCTCCTGTGGATAAACTGATACAAACTTTGAGGAGAATCACGACGGAATGCGGACGTTTTTTAAACTTTTTTTTTGTGTGGATAAACTACTAAAATAGTCTGAGGAAGGACCGAAGCATCAGACTGAAGGATGGAGTTGAAAAGTAACTGACTTTACAACCTTTCACAGAAAAAACACATAATACGGTACGCCTTCTAGCCCAGAGTAACCCTGTTTGGATCGGGTTATTCATGTGATGGATTTAAAGTCTTCTTACTGGATCTGGAATATTTCTGTGGGGGGAAATGGACGTCATCTGCGGAGCCATTTTCTTTCACAAACATAGACATGTTTCTTAGTCAGGAAACAAACACAGTTCTCTGGTGTTTCATACAACAGAATATAAGAGCCATTGTATGTACATTCCAAGATTAAAGTGTTACATTAATGAGAGGATAACTCCTTTACATTAAATTAGTGAATCACCGAAAAAATGTATAAACCTGCTAGAAAATTATTTTGTCTTCTACAATTAAAAAAGAATTGTTTTATTATCTGAAATTAAAATCTGAAATTACGCAAAAAACTCTGGCAGTTAAAAAAACTCAAAGGCTCAAAGGAAATACTTTTTGTATATTCTCTGAGATTAAAAAGTATAACATTTAGTAGAAAATTATGTTAAATTTGCATGAAAATAATGCTCAATTTTCTGAGAATAAGGGACTCCTTCTCACGGCATTTTTGTAAACCAACCACTATAATCTTGGGAAATATTCATGTTTTCTTTTGTTACTTTGGGAGTTATTTCGTGAATTGACCACTCTTGGAATATCCCAAAAAATGCTATAAATGAACTACTTAAATCCCAAAGTTTCTTTCTCAGAATATATACAGGCTACATATTTTGGTGTCACTAATAAACCATCAGAATATCTTGCCACGAAAAAAAGGTTTAGATTATATTGTATAATATAAAAATAATATTTTCATTTCACCTTAAAATGTCTCACACCCATTTAAGATTAAAAAAAAAAGCCTTAATTTCTACCACAGTGCATTTTCTTTCAGTTCATCAGTTTCACTTTTTCATCCCGTTTGCACAGAAAACACAAGATGTTGTCAAAGATGATTTATATTTATATAAAAAATAAAAACCACTAAACAAAAGTGTGTGTTTCTTTGGATTTTCATGACACGTGTTGCTTTTGAATGTTCCCTTACAAAATAAGAGCCCCATGCCTAAATGAATCACAGCACATTCCCGTTGGTGTAAATGTTTACTTCTATACATTCATTGAAAGGAAATACATTACATTACAGTCGAGTGGAGATCAGTGTAGCCCTGATGATGAGTCAAACTGCAAAAAATCATGACACACTGGCCTCTATAATTTACAAATACTCCTCAAGATATTTGGTGAAATGATCAACCTGCTACTTAACCTTTCTTTACAAGTACATGAAACAGCGCATGATGATAATTACACTTAAAATATCTCAGGGTAAAACAGGCCAAGAGCGTCAGTCTTTTTGCAGTGTGATAATACTTATAACAATAATATACAATCTTCATAATATTAATAAGTTAGATTCAATAAAAACAATCTTTCCCTACACTTCAGTCGAGGGTAAAGGTGATGATTTGGCATCCTATGGTTTCTTCACAGCACAATACTTTATCTGAAAGAAACATTTCACTCTGGTAGAATATTTGTTTTGACGTTTTCATGCATGTGATCCCGTTATAGTGTTTAGCAATTGGTGGCAACATGTGCAGTGCTTTCATTTAGAAAAACGTGTGCAAAGTGCCTGTGATTTTGTGGTTTTTACAAGAAAGAAAAAAGGTGAGAATTATTCTACCAAAGTGAGGTTTCTTATTCGTCCTCCTGGTTTTAATGAATGTCTTTCTCCTTCAGATTATCGGGACATAAATGTCAGAAAAATACAAAGTATTTGATTAATATTTTGAGGAAATACTCCAGCAAGTAGATAAAGAAGTTAGAGCCGCCCTGTCAGTTACCTGAACTGTAGATTTAAGATCGGAAAGCAAAAGATAAATGCTCTTCCAAACATTTAAGGCTGAGTTTCACCAACAAGCATTGTCTTCACTTCTGAATTAAAACATGTATTTCTTTTGGTGGAACTCGCTTTGAATGTTTCATAATTTTTATGGATATGATTTTATACTTTGTCAGCGATTTCCTCTGAGGTTTAAATAGAGTTTCAGCCTCAGAAACAGATGAAATGTTCCTCATACATTCCCCCTTGTTTCTGACAGAATGACTGAATTCAAACAACACACACACACACACACACACACACACACACACACACACACACACACACACACACACACACACACACACACACACTTCAGAGTGTGTGTTTGTTGTTGTTGACAGATGCTGCTGTTTGCAGAGAGGCTCAGCTGGGAGGCATTATGCGGCTCAGAGACAGAGTGTGTGTGTGTGTGTGTGTGTGTGTGGGAAATTCATTGGCAGAGTTCATGTTGCTAAAGGACGCCACCAGCTTGATACACAGCAGTGTTTCTAAAAAGTGGGTGTCTGTTGCTGTGTGTGTGTGTGTGTTGTGTTGTGTTGTGTTGTGTTCAGTCCAGGGCGAGGAGCGGCGTGCTGGTCTCTCTGTCCGTTTGTCGGAGAGTTCCTGGCTCCACCACCGACTGAGACCTGAAACCCAGAGAAGAAATGAATCTGATACTCAGATAGGAGGAGAAGGAGGTGGTCTTTGTCTCCCCCTTACCTCTTCTCTGTGTAACCTGTCTCCCCCCTCCCATCTCTTTAAAGTGTACCTGTCTCCCCCCCCCTCACCTCTTCATCAGCTCCTTATCTCCCCCGCAGCTCTCCCTCACATGCAGAGCGTCGTAGGTCAGTGTGTACTCCGTCTCGTCGCTGTAGTCGGGTCCCAGCAGCGTCCTCGCCCAGATCCCCATGTCGTAGGGAGGGAGAGTCCCCCCAAACTCTGAGGGGAGACACTCCGGCTGCAAGAGGACATGCAACGAGTTCAGGTTGTTCCCGTGGAGGAAGATCTGAGGAGAGAGGGTAGGACGCATGGTGAGGGAGGACAGGAGATCAGGAGAAGAGGAAATCAAGGAGAAGAAAGGAGTGGAAACGAGAGGAAACAAGCATATAGAGGAGAGGATGCAAGGATAGGAATTAAGGTGAGGATGGGAAGCAACGAGAGGAGATAAGTAGACAGGAGAGGAAACAAGAAGAGGAAATAAGAAGAGGAGTGAAAGGGAGGAAGCCAGTACAGGAGAAGAGAGAATAGACAGAGATCAGGAGTAAAGGAAATGAGGAGAAGACAAGAAAAGGGAGCGTGGGAACAAGGAAAGCAAGCATATAGAGGACAGGAAACAAGGAGAAGGGACAAGGATAGCAAGCAAGGAGATAAGAGGAGATTACGAGAAATAAAAACAAGGGAGGTGGGTGTTGTAATCGAAGGAGATAAAAGACCAAAATCTGTTAATTAAATAAGAACAAAGAAGAGGAGGAGAAAAAGGTGAAAATGAAATAGAGGAAATGGAAGACAATTGGAGAGACAAGATGAAAAAGAAATAGCAGAAGAAAGATAATAAGACTTGGATACGGGACACATTTTGTTACCCTTTTCCTGGTCTTGTCCTTGAGGAAAGGCTTGATGATGGTGTACATGGCGTGAATATACCACGGCTGATTCACAAAGTGGATCCCTCCAAAACGGGCCGGAAAACTGTCCTGAGGAGAGGAGACAAGGAGGTGAGGAGACGAGGATAACAAGACACCATGACACAAGGATAGAAACATGAGAGGAGAGGACACAAGGAGAAGAGACAAGGAGAGGAACGAAAAACAGAAAAGAAAGAGGGAGAGACAAGAAGAGGAGATAAGACGAAAGGAACCAAGAAGAGGAGGAAGTCGAGATGAGGAGATGAAAAAGAAGGAGAAAGGACACAAGAAAGGAGAAGAAAGGACCAGAGGAAACAAAGAGAGAGTGTGTGTGTGTGTGTGTGTGTGTGTGTGTGTGTGTGTGTGTGTGTGTGTGTGTGTGTGTGTGTGTGTGTGTGTTACCTGCTCTGGTCCCAGTTGGAGGCAAACAGGATAAGGATTTTGCGGCCGTGTTGGTCCGGAGTCTCCAGCACACCTGGGAAGCCGTCCATCAGAGCGCGCTTTATCCCGGGGTCGTCCACCTGACAGGATTGGACTTTAATTTTGAATACTGACAAAAAAGCGTTATTGATTTTGGTCAAACAAGATTATTAATATTTTAGTTGTTATTATTATAATCAAGGGAATATTAATCAACCATTGTAAGAATAGCTCTTCTGTTTTTGCAAATGAACTCTCGAATACAGTGTTGATTAGGATTTCTTGTACTTCCAGGGTTTGAAACCAGATATCTAAAGGTAACACCCAGAGAAAGGTGGTACCTTGAAGCTCTGGAACATGTCGAGGTTCTGCTGTCTGAACTGAAAGTACTGGGCCAGCAGCCGGAAGGTTTCCGTCTGGTTGAACTTCCTCGCTCGCAGGAAGCGTAGGATGAAGTCGTCGTCCGTCCGCAGGAAGCCGATGTCCGGCCGCGTCACGATCATGTCCCGCACCTCGAGAAGAAACGCATTCACAGGAGGAAAATAAGGATGAGCAGTAAGAGGTTTTAAAAGTAAATAATTCATCATAATCTAAACCAAATATTAACCAATATTTGTGGACATATTTAGCTCAAATTAGATCCTGAAGCTTTACAGCATGTCAATTGCTTTTTGTAATTTAATTAAATGAGGAATTTGCACTACTATAAAACACTTTTTTACTTGGAAGATATGGAGGGCTGAAGCTGCCATACTGATACATAAATAAATAAAATAATAAAGAAGGAAATGCAGTAATAAAAACCCCAATTGCTAACATTTATTCATTATAATTGAAGTTTTAGTCCTCCATGAACAGCAACATAAAAACAATATAATGTTTTTTTTCAGTATTTTTAACAATGTATGTTGCTCTCCCTGTTTGAGCTGGACATATCGTTGGTTAAGACCAACATAATATTTGAAGTACCTGCTGGATGTCCTGATGCAGAGTGTCTGGGTTTTCATTCAGCTCCAAACGAGCTTTCTCCGTGGTCTCTGGGCTCAGGCCGGCGTGGAGGTGCGTCATCGTGAAAGTTAAGTCTCCGCACAAATTACAGTTTTATGCCGACAATTCTCCGGACAGTTTGTTTTACAATCTTGTTGATTTGGTTGTCGTTGTAACACAATCTTAATTGCTGTCTCTGATTTTAAACTCCACATTTACAGATTTTGTCGGTAAGAAACAATCGCGCTGCTGTCTTCCTCTCACATTTCTGCAGGAAGATGAAAGTGTTTTGGTTTTTGTTGAAGCTTGTTGCAGGTGGTTTGATGAAGAAACAGGTCAGTGTCGGTGCGACATTCACATCCTTTTTTATTTTGTCCTACTTTTCCTCTCGTTTAATGTCTTTCAGCTCCCTCCTCCTCCGGCTCTCTGTCATCTTTCTGCTTGTATTTCAGGTTTCTTATAAGTCAGCTCTCTGCTGCATCATGGTGATCAGTCTGTCGTTTTTCTGCAGGGGTCAAAGGTCAGGCAAGGGAGCAAGGTCTCAGCCTGCAGGTGAGAGGAGACAGTATAGGTAAGTATAAATATCACACCTATCTTTGATTATTCAATTTCTTCAGGGGTTTATTTGTAGTTTATTGTAGAGTTTAGGAATTTAAAAACCGGGATGATGATTTTCAGAATATAAGCCTGCAACTATTTTGTTTTCATTACATCTGTTGAGGATAATCATGCTAAATTAATTACTAAATTGTTCCTAAAAATGTCAGGAGGATTCTAGAAAAAATGTCTTAGGACCCAATGCAGACTATTTTTTTATTGCATTTACTTTTCTTACTTTTTGTCCTCTATATGCTATAGAGCTAAAGCTGACATTGTAAAAAATGAATGCCTTTTTTATAATTTAAAAGAACAGTTTGACATACATTCATTTGTATTTATTATATCCGTGTATATTTAATAATTTAATAAATGTTTCTTTCTTATTTTATTTTACTATAAGGGCAGCTTTAGTACTCCATACAATACACTTTGTAACAAAATAACATAGTAAATGATGCTGTATTTTAAAATGGTACATGCTCTTTATATAGACTTTATTTAATTATATTTATAAATATCATCTGTTCTTGCACTGCTGCTGCTGTTTCTCATAGGGATCAATAAATGTTATCTTTATCTCAGATGACCCCCCCTCCCTGCTCTTTCTGCCCCCACCCCACCCCACCCCCCCCAACTCATCCCCATCTGCCTGCACATTAATTGTGTCAGATGTCGTCCAATCTGTCCACAGAGACAGATAATGAAAAAAACTGATACACTTCAAGGTCCCACAGGGCTCTGTTTTACATTTCCATCCTTGAGATCAAACATAAAACACTGAAATGCCCGGATGTGGCTCTTATTGTACATTATATTGAAGGTAAATGTTTGAATTTAATGTGAATAATTGTATATTCATTTCCCCAGTCAATGTAATGATAAAAGTCACCCTCATGATATGAAGGTGCGCGTGTATCCTCGCTAAATGTCCTCTAAAGGATCCAAAATAAGAAAATCCCCCAGGAGTGAGCCATTTAAGCTCTTCTGCATGCAGTTTGTTGTATTTGAATTATATATTTAATAGAACAGCAATACATCAGTGAGAGAGGAGCGACCTGCTAGGTGTGCTGGTTGAATCCACGGCCCTCCGGTGCTGCTGGTGCTGATGCTGCTGGTGGCCATCGGCATCCCGCGGACAAAATAACAGATTGCCGTCAAAAATTAAAAATAATACAATTAATATAAAAGCTTCCCTGAAGGCGTCAGATGTGTTTAAAGACCGTCCTTGTATAATCCGTGCAGGCTTTGTAGCAGCATCTCTCTGATGAGATGCGTTTTTACTTTGTGCTCCGAGAAGACGTCAGGATGCTCCCGAACCGTCAAGCTTTTCAAAATAAAGAGCAAGGCTTCCGGTCAGCACTTTCAAAAGAAAATTTGCTCACAGATTAAACCTACCACATACATTTACTGTTCTCATCATACATCTTAAATAAAGACCTGAAACGTATTTTAAGGGTCTAGTTTGAAGGAGTTCTTTCATATATTCATTGTTTATGAAGTACATTTGATTTATATTATAAAATGTATTTATTATAGCGTATATTTGACTTGCACATATTCTTTACAATTTACTTTATAAACTTATGCGAATATTTGTATAACAAATACCGTACAGCGTTTTAAATCAAGATATATTTTACATTACTTTATTTCATATTTCTTATAGTATTTTTAGTTATACTAATTATGATTATTTACTTTTTTAGTGCTTGTTTTTCTCTTTCTCTTACTTAATAGATTGCTTTGGACCAAAACATCAGTCAAATACTTTGTATGTAAAGACTTTCATACAATACAACAACAACAAACCTAAATTGTTGAGTACAAAAAAAGACTCTAGTAAGCAGATAATATATATATATTAGGCACTAAAGAAACAAACGACATACATAAACATTTACCAGGAAAAAATTGCATACAAATAAAAAAATCCAAATAACAAATGGCAACAAATTCGAGGCTTTTATTTTGAAGCCACCCTCTTCTCGTTTCCTGTTTGGTTTGACCTACCTACCTCCTGCATGACAGCGGCTGACGGCCACGCGCGTTCATGAGGAACCCTGGACAGATTGTAGATTGATTGCGCGTACGAAGCAGCTGGTGCGAGCACACGTGTATGCGCAAATTGATATGCATGGGAAAAATCTGCCAAACAATATTATTATTTTAATTAAACACTATTTTGATTCAAATTGTACACATTTATTATATAAATATTATAAGTATATGCTTACTTCATCGATTTTACCGACTTTATTTTATAATACATGGATAAGGATATGAACTGTAAATTAAAACATTTGAAATCATTCTGTATTAATAATTATTCTCACTAATAAGATGTATTGATCCTTGTAAGAATGTAAATGTCCAAAGGAAATGTTGTATATTATTGTATTTATCATATTTCTATAATATGACATGTTATACTCATAGTTTTATATTTGACATACCATTCCGTTCAATCATTTGTTTCCATATGTTATGTTATATTATATTGCTACATTTCACCGAATACTATGTCTTTATATCACATACTCTTGATTAACTTTATTGATTTTTTTCATGATATTTCAAATCACATTTTTATAACACATGACAACCGGCCTTTTTGTTGCTTTGTTGTTTTTATTTTATTTATTATGTTGTGAAGCCGGGCGGTAGACTTCCGGCCTATTGACGTATTCCTGTTGTTCTAGGGTCCACTCAGCTCGGAAACTCCAAACAGAGTCGTATCTACCTCGTTTACACTGTTTGTTAACTTATTTGAAAGAAAAACCTCGAACATTATCTTCTTACAATCACTGAAGTTAAGTTCATAAAATTGTTGTGTGTAGTTGTCACATCGCGGAACGTTGTTGAAGCCTCTTTTCAGGACCCTTTCGTCTCCAGATCTGCCCCAACCGGAGTGTGCTAACATTAGCTCAGTAGCTAGCCACCATTCAATCTTCAAGTAAAACAACGACTAATCGAAGTTGTTTTAATCATGGATCAAATAGGAGTAGTAACGCCAAAGGTAAGCTTTTGTATCATTTGATTGCGTGTAATACCTTCAATTGTGTTCAAATCCACGAAGCTATGTCGGTGAGCTACCTAGCCTGCTAGCTTTAGCTTCTGCTTAGCTGTTTTATAACATGGCCTCTTTGAAAGTCGCCTCCCTAAAAGGCCGAATTTAGCTCACTGTGAGTGGGCACATTAGTCCGCAGCTGCCAGGGTTCTGGTCACTGTGTGTGCCATGATTAGAGATATGTTGGCATAAGTTTCGCTCCAAAATAAACTCAGATGCTAGTAAGACACTATAGCTGATTCTAAAAGGAAAGGACATAACATATCTCACTGAGAAATCCTAAAATGTGCCTCCACATATAAACATGAAATGCCCTTGAATCACGTATACAAACAATACGATGTATGAAATATTTATTTTCGTTAGATTCAATTGGTTACAAATGTTTTCACCGACCTACTGTTTAATACTATGTCCATGTTCAATTTTGTTATAATGTAATCGGATATAAGAGACATGGTGGAACAGAGACCTTTGACACTGTTGACCACCAAGTGCTCCTTGCAAAGCTGACTCATTTCAATTTTTCGGCAGTTTCGATACATTCGAACAGAAAACAGTGTGTTTTGGTCAACGGAGCCAAAGGTTCCATTCTTGGACCATTACTGTTTTCTCTGTACATGAATGACTTGCCTAATGTATGTCCTGGGTTGAATGTGCAAATGTATGCCAATGATGCGGTCATCTTTGTACACGGGAAAAATAATCACATCCTTTCTCAAATGCTTTGGACAAGGTTCAACACTGGCTGAACAACATTTGCTTACAGTTAAATGTAAAAAAAACAAAAACAGTATGCATGATGTTCAGTAAACGACCAGTCAACATCGAAGGATCCAATGTGTTTTTAAACGGAGCAGAAATAGAACTAGTCTCAACTTGACTTTTAAGAAACATAACAAGAAAGTATCAAATACCATTAAATTCAACTTGCAAAATGTTAAACAAATTAGACCTTTCTTAACTGTCAATGCTGCAAAGTCATACCTCCACTGTATGATTCTATCCCACATTGAATACTGTTTGACAAACAGGTCGTTTGCTTGAGCCACAAACCTGAACAGATAGAACAGCTGTACAAGAGAGCTATCAAGGTTTTGACAGAAAGCCTTACTCATGCCACCATCCTTGAAAAACACAATTTCTTGAGTTTTGACAATTTTAAGTCTTTTAAAAGTATGTGTTTTTTTTATAAATGTTTACATAGCTAAAATCCGGCTCATTTACATTTGAAAGCATTATTTTGTTTAAAATGTTCATCAATGTGCATTGTCCCGGTTCAAATAAATGATTGAAAAATGAAATTTAAATGGCAGATTATAAATAAATTAAATAAACCCTAATTTGATATCTTAATTATATAAATAAGAACAGTTTCGGCCCTAAAAACCCATCAGGACGGTGGTTGTGGACTGAGCTCAGACATGTCTGAACATGTCTCTGCTTCACTTCTGGATCCTGTGTTGACCTTACACTGTATGAATAATTTCATTATGACTCTCCCTGTGTGTTCATCACACTGGTGACTGCCTCATTCACAAATAAAGTCCAAAGGTGCTTTAATATCTGCAGCCAGGTCACCTTTATTTATTTGTTTACTGTTTTATCTTATGAATTGCAAATAAACATCTTTAGCTTTTGTCCTCATCTTTCCATGTGAACACCAAGCTTGTACAGTTTTTCATACAGACTTTATTTATAGATTTTACATACAGAAAAATGGATCAGATTTATATTTACATGTATCATTTATGAAACTTACAACCATTTCAGCCAGGTGTAGCTCATTTACTGGCTTTTGCTCTTGTTTCGCAGCTCATCATCAGTGTAAAAGTGTTTTGGTGTGAGTGTGTGTTCCTAAGTGTTATAATATGTGTTCTCTTTGTGTTTTATCCAGAGCCCGTGGGGGCACGTGGCCCCTGCGGCCCCCGCCTGCTCTCTGACAGATGTGATGAGCGAACAGCTGGCCAATCAGCTGACGGAGGAGGACAACGTCTTCCCCACCCTCACTGAGTAGGTCCTCACCTGTGTGACTCACCTGTGTTCACAATCTGAATGTGTGTATAATGCTAAGAGCAAATAAAGACATGTTTTGAAAACTTTTGTATGTGGAAACGTAAGTATTAGTGCTGTCAATCATTTAAAAACTATTGCGTTAATCACAATAATAATCTGATGATTAATCACGATAAATCTCAATATCAATCTGTGATTGATCACAATTAGCCACTTCTCTAATTTATATATATTTTTTGTTGAAGATTGAATACTAAGAACAAAAAAACTCAAATGATTTGACGGTCTTCTGTTCACGATTTATTCCCTCTCTCTCTGTGTTTCAGTCCGGCTGCAGATCTGCTTCTGTCTGACGAAGTTTCGGAAACGACTTCCGACCAGGTGCTCGCCAAGATGCTGCAGCTGCAGTTCGACCGCGAGTTTGATGATCAGCTGCGCCGTGAGGAGAAGAGATTCAACGGAGACAGCAAAGGTTCTTACTTAAATGGGATTATTATTATTATTGTTTGTAAGTGTGTGATATTAAGTGTATTTAGGAAAAGTACTCATACCATACTAATAAAAAAACCTCCACTGTAACTCAATGTCCTGAATGTTTTGGCCTGTTATATCCCCACTTTTATAGGGAGGAAATATTTCTAAATATGGATATGGTCAAATGTCCTGTAAAGTATGTAAAGCTGACGGTTTGGATTTGTTGTTCAGTGTCCATCTCCTTTGAGAACTACCGTATGGTTCATCCCTACGAGGACAGCGACAGCTCCGAGGACGAGGTGGACTGGCAGGACACGAAACACGACCCTTACAAAGCTGGTAAGACTCCTGCAGGGGGTGGACAAAATAACAGAAACACCTGGCAGTACCATTAGGGGAGGTGCATGTATTAAAGCAGAGTGTGTTTCTGCGTTCTTATCAGATAAACCTCAGACTACACCCAGGAGAGGCTTCTCTGGGAAAGGAAAGAACATCACCACCAAACACGATGCAGAGACCTGCGGACGCAAGAACACCGCGCGCATGGACAATGTAGGACACGCAACGTTTTTGATTTACTATTACATTTCTACTGATCATAATTCCATTGTTGAGGTCTACTAGAATAGATTTACATTGTGCAATTTTCCAAACTCACATTGGTTTCTCATACAGCATCTCTGTATAGTATGTGTATTCACGCCTTGGTGCTCCTGCCCCCCCCTATGAGCCCAGTGTGCTCTGATTGGTCAGC